GGAAGAGAAAGAGCACAAAATAGAAAAAACAGCACCAAGGCTTTCTGCCATCTGACAATAATATAAGTTCAAAAATATTCCCTCCCAGAGAAATTTTAGAAAACTTTTTTTACAAATTTTATTTATAATACAGTTAAAAACAAACAAACATTGGATTTAATGTGACATTCCAGTATATACATTCTTATCAGATTATTCCACTTTTTACAATCAATTCTTCATCTCTACATATACATCTAAGTTTTATATACAATACTTGTTCTAAAATAACATGTATTTCTATCTTAACATTCATCTTTAATCCTGACCGTCCTCTTCAAATTCCTCCGTTGGTAAAATTTATCCCAGGTTTCATAATAAACTGATCCACATTTGTCTTTTAATATCATTGTGAGCCTGTCCATTTCCGCACATGCTAATATTTTATGTATTAACTCTTCCTCTGTGGGAATTTCCTTGCTCTTCCATTTTTGCAATAAAGCAAGCCTAGCTGCAGTCAGGATGTGTAGCAGCAGGTAGATTGTTCCCTTGTCGTATTTTAATTTTAGAAAACTTTTGAATAATTGGAAGACAAATGTCAGTACAATGTTAAAATAAAGAAGGGTAAGAGGAGCAGCAATGGCCTTGTCATGACCCATCAGCACTTAGCTGCTGGAAAATCTCAATTGCAATGAAATTCCTTGTATTTTCAAATAATTAGCACCATATTTGCACTGAACTTGGTTTTGAAAGCTTGCACACTTTTTAAAAGCAGTAGAATTTAAACTTGGCTTAAATATTTATTACCATACACCAATACTATACAAATATGAGTTCTCATTAATCCTCTTTGGGGATAATGCATATACAAGTCTCACATCATGTGGGCCTGGCCATTGGTAAGTGGTGAGGTTTGAGCTCAGACCTTAGAAAAAGATGTGCACTCATCTCAGCCAGGTACCAGGCAGAACGGCTGTTTCTTCTGTTGCTGCTTGTTAAACTTCAGTCTAGAGAAAATATGGATAAGGTGATGACTGTAGTTAGAGAAGGACCAACAGGGCTGGGCAGCTGAAGCAATTGACATTGACAAAAGAACAGACATTAGTATTGCCTTGAAGGTATCAGTGACACTGGCCCTGGATACATTTTTAAGACAAGAATCACATTCCTATCGTGTATAGGATTACAATTGGAATGCTGCAAACCTGGGAGAGAATGATCATCTGCAGGTAAGTGAAGGTGGTCAATGAAGCAAGTGATGAAGAGGACCCTAGAGGAAGTTTATATTTGATCCTATATGCTCTTTACACTTTGGGATAAGGAAACATGGGCCTTTTCCACTTCAGGTAGTTCATCACCATTTCAAGTGTGGGGTTTTTTATTTCTTTGTTTACTTTGAGTAGAAACATACAACATAAGTTAAAATAATAAATAGTATCATGCAACAGAATGAAGATAAAAATAGGGGAAAGCGCTGCCATTGTCAATATCCAGGAATCCCAAACCTAAACATTTCCAAAATTCTCCTCCTAGAATTATTTTCTGGAAAATTAAAGACTCCATTTATATTCATTAATAATCCATACAGTGACATTCAAGAATCGGAAGCATTATGACAGCTTGCTTGCTATCCAAAACAGAGAGAGAAATCCAGGCTTAGAATGAAGGCATATATACAAATCCCAGGATAATGTTGCAGGATCCCATCAGATGTTTAGTCTTCCAAGCTTTCGGACCATGATGGAGCCTATCCTCAGGGAAATTTTCTCTCTCTCTAGAATATAGCATTTATGTGGTTCCTTATGGTATGTTGCTTTTAGTTGTTAATTAGGGTGTTGATGGCCATCAACATTACATCATTGGTTATTGTTTCCTTGTGCTGCCTCTGTTCCAGGTACTTAACAGAATGCTCAAATGTCTCCTACTAATAGAACTATAGCATATTATTTTAACTTGGTGCTAAACATTTTCTATTTACTGAAACAAAAATTGTTAAGAGTGTATTTATGAAAATTATTCCTAGACATGGGAAATTATTTTTAAAAAGTGCTGTTAAAACAGTTTTATAATATATTAAAATATTGAAATTTATCTTGCTGACCATTATTAGAAAAAAGACTTTTAAAGTAAATGTTTCAGGTAATTTGCTTTTTCTGTTGTAGCTAATTACTAATTTATAATTTCTTTTTCAAATTAATACAAGAAAAAGTCTGAAAAATACTGATAATTTTGTTTATTTTGCACAGTAATTTTCTTCTTAGGCAGCAGACAGCCTTAGTCCTTATTAAAAGAAACCAGGGCTGAAAGTATTAGCAAATATTTTTCAATTATTTAAAATTATTTGTATCTGAAATGCATCTGGTGACATTGTCCTTAAAGTTAATAGAAGTCTCTCTTGATTAACATTACATCAAATCAATTCAAATTTGCTCTGCAAAGTACTTTAAAATAATACACACACACATCATACATATACATCTGTATGTAAGCATGTATGTATGCATTTGTGCATTATGTGTATACACACCCACACATATACAAACACATACAAAGCATCATCAGTAAAACACATTACCATATGCAGCAAATTAAATTGTGGGCCATAATAAGAGCAAGCCAGCCCAGGTATACTACAAACAGATGCTGGATGGTTTGTGTGGATTACAGGATTCCTGGGGGAAAAAAGGAGGGGTCTCTACCTAATATCTAGGAGCATCGCCCATATTCTTCTAGAGGCAAGAAGACAAGATAGAGAAAAGCTGCTCTAATTTTTGCTAGTAAGTAGTGAGTATAATAGTATTTTGCCAATTAAGCAGGATAAATCTATCAGAACTTCCTTAACTCATAAAAATTTCCTGGGAATCTTCTTAAGGTAACTATGAAAAATTTAATTAAGAACCATCCAGACACCATTTGGAATCATTTTTCTATCCATCTTTTCATTTTTCTTTTCTTTTTTACATTTAAAACCAATATTTTAAGCAGTGGCTTGTTTTATTGAAAAAAATGTTACTTTTTATTTTTAATTTCCCATTTGGGGCTTTTTTGAACATATTACGATGTAAATGTGGGTTAACATAAACGAATGCATTTAATATCTCTTAAGAAATTCTGCATTTTTTAATTTCTTTTTTGGTGCTTTTTGCCATTTGGTTGTATTTTCTGCAAAATAGATTGCATATATTTAATATTTTTGAAATGTCAGTTGAAGGTAAGAGTAATTGTTTCCCCTACCCTGTGCATTGTTCTTTTGTTTTTCGATATAATCATAACATTTTTAAAGGCTGTGATTAACACATTTCTGAAAAAAATGAAATCTAAACATGCCATAAATGATTTGCACTTTGGTTTTTGTATCAGCAAAATTCAAAATTTTATCATCTTTTAATTGGTTGGTTTCAGCCTTGTTACACAATTTTGTTCTATGGATAAAAAAAAACCTTTCTCATTTTTAGTGATACTTCTGCAATTCCATGCATCTTTAATTCTATGGATGTTGAATATCTAAATTTTATTCTAGAACTTCTATTTTTTTAAGGAATCTAGAATTATTATATTGGTGTTTGGATATTTACATAAACAAAATAAAGTAATTATTTGCATCAATAGATGTAGTGTTTGGTTTGAGTTATTTGATGTTAAATGAAGAGAAAATACTAGCATTTCAAAATAGTCTGCAAATATTGTCAAATTTGTCTGTTATTCTAATAGATTAAGATGACATTTTGTTTATTTTTTATCATAAATAATTTTATCCCCCTTCCTTTGTAACTGAATATTATTAGACAAAAAAGAAAATAAAGGTTCAGATATATAATAAGTATGAACTATAATTTCTAGACATTCAACATGTTATCTTAGTTGTTGACTAACAAACACATTTTGTCTATTTTGTTTATTTATATGTGAGTGCATATATGTTAAACTTTTACCAAATGGTTGAAAGTATTTTGAAGGAAATGGATTCCAGAGGTGAAATTAGCTTACTTTCCAGATAGACAAATGAACAGTTTATTAGATACTAGAATGAACATTGTAACATTACCTATTGAACAGATTTTTTTCTGATGATATGTTTCATTTTGCCAGGTTTTTAAATTAAGAAATAATTGTGCAATTTGAAATTGTTTTAATGTCACATACCTAAAATGTAATTGCTATATAAATAAATTTAACATTGCCCCAAACAGGAATCCTCCCTCATCTGTGACCCTATTGTCTCCTTCCCCATATTTTAACTGTAATTTTGCTTTTGATTGTAATTCTATTTTATTGTTTTTAGAAATATTTAAGTTTTACAGTTTTATAGTTTTTAATTTTGTAAGCCACCCAGAGTTGCTTCAAGACAAGATGGCCACAAATTAATTAATTAATAAATAATAAAAATAGAAATAAATAAACACCCAATTGTGAATTTCTGTATTTGACCCATATATATTTTACCAAACCAACCTGATCATTTTTATCAATGGATATATCACTTTTTGCAGGCATTATCTCTAAGCATAAACTAGAGAGTTCAATTTTGTTCCTGACTTTAACTGTTATGCAGAATTATCTAATTGAAATTTTATTGCAGATCATTTCATAACTGTAATATAACATGTCACAGATGTGACATTATGGAGACCACAATCAAATATGGAAAAGGTGCTTATATTGGTTTTTGAACTTCAGTGTTCTCAGAGGTATTTATTGGATTATTCAGAATTGCTTCTTGCAGGGATACATATACACTCGGCACATTGGGACATTCAAGAAAGGATGAAAAAGGATTTAAAACTGCTTCTTTATGCAATGATTATTTAACTTGGTTGATCAAATATGTTCTCATCTCATTTTAATGAATTATGAATGTGCCTTTTCTGTTTTGTACACTTTTCTGTTTTGTTGTATCAGATTAAAACTGGAATTGTCCATTCTGGCAAAGAAATGATAAATGGGAAGGGAGGATAAAGAAACATTGATGCTGTTTTAAAAAGGCTATATTTTTGACACATGACCTATCTTTTTTCCCTTAGGTATCTGAGAACTTTAGCAAAAACATATTTTCTTTTTTGCCTTCCGGAATGGAATACAAGAACTTTCTCCTGAGCTTCCTTCTTTGCTCCATGTTGCTTACAGCCAGCTATTGTTACATGATATTTGAGGAAAAGCAAAACTCGGACAACTATGCAATAAATAATAACAAAATCAAGATCCCGGATCTCCCTCCCATCTCTATAGTAGGTTGGTAAAAATGGATCCTGTTTTGAATCTTAAGGCCAGAAATGAACATAGATTCCTTGCTTTTCCTCCTATCTCTCTTCCTTTTCAGTACTGTATTATGAAATGAAATCTATGAAGCACATTGTCGTATGCCTATACTTTTCTTCTGACAATGGAATTGTCAATAAAATGGAATAGGGTCATCTAAATGGTATTTAAATGCTGAGGATGTTTCAAAAGTAATGATAGCACATCTGTGCTTTTCTTTCACTTCCTATTTGTAGATAGAACAAATGAAGGGATAAGGAGTTTTTCAGCTATTGCTCAAAACTCTCTTTTTGAAAACCGCCACACTTATCTCTCTAAGTGACAAAATTACTAAGTCTTCAAAAACCCCAGGTATAAATTCTCAATATATGTTAATAGTCTAATTTAATCATTTAATCTAGTTTAATAATCCTGAAGAAAATCTATCATGTAGTTAGTAGCAGTTGACACTACCTTCATGGCACAAATCATTTTAATTATATTTGAATGGTAAAGTATGATTTCTCTATACCTGTATCCATGTGCGACCAACAATGTGATTATGTTTGGCCATACAATTTAAACTGGATTTGGCATTTTTATCCATCTGTCAAATCTCTTCCAAGCCCCTGAGATAAGCAGGTATTGTTGTTGGTGATGTTAGAGGTATTCAGCTGAAGCTCCAGATATTTTGGGATTGTACCCAAGGCAGCTATTACTATTGGTACTGCTGCTGCTGCTGCTGCTGCTGCTACTACTACTACTACTACTACTACTACTACTACTACTACTACTATTATTATTATTATTATTATTATTATTATTATTATTACTATTACTATTGTCGTCATCATCATCATTAACTCTGGAACAACTCTGACTGACTTGCATTTAAAAAAAATAAAAACGATAAAAACAAGGGCTCCACAAATGTAAATCGCAAGACCTGGGAGAACAGATAAGTTTTAAAGATTTCAGGAACATCTTCAGGTTGGGAGCAATATACATGTCTGGGACAATATCATTCCAGAGGCCAGAAGCCAGGATGAATGTTTCGTTTGCTTTTCAATAAAAAAGCAGAGTACAAACATTGCAATGAAAGTATATACAGATATCAAATTTAACCAGTTACATATGGACACTGTTCTCTCTCACCATAATATAATATGACACATATAATTAAAGTGGCAGCCAGGGGTCAGGGGGCTGACCAGGACCCCTAGAAAATTGAATTTACAATTTAGGCACAGTTGGACCCTAGGCAGCATACTATAAACCAACAGAATAAAATAGAATATTTATGGACAAATTATAACAAGAAATAAACAAAAGAACATAATCCCATAACATTGCTGAAATATTTCAGGACCTTGAATTTTTGTGACAGCTAAATGGTTGACTAAAAATATATTTAAACTTGCATGTAAGATAAGTGAGCCCTTATCTTTAAGGGCTCACTTATCTTACATAATCATTTTAAATAAATAAACATAACAGAAAGTACTACTTTAAATTTACAAGTATAAAATATGATATAAGTTAATTTTAATTTAGTTATTCCATTATTTTATTTTGTTCTAGGAGAAATAGAAAATCAAGTTCTGAATGTCTCAAATCAAAATCTATATTCAGGATTAGATACTAAGCAATTTAGATCTCACCTATATTTGCAAACCTCATCTTCACAGTCTTACTCATGACTCTTTTCATTTTTAAAAAGAAACAAACTGAACCCATACGAAAATCACCACATCACAGATTTATGAAATGAGCCGACTCAAACATCAAGGCCAATTTATAGAAAGGTACTTCACAGACTTACTGGAATTAATAGGAACATTTTTGCCATTAGCCATCTGCTCATATACTGTTAATTAAATCATTATGGCTTTCATGATCACTTAAAATTAATATTATATCAGAATTCATTCTAGTGATATTAAGAATCATTAGACCTTCCAAAACCTTGAAAATAAGTTATATAACTTTGTATGGGACAATACAGAATCTAAAAAGTAAGAATAAACCATTTTCCTCTGTCTAACTTAAGAAGTTAAAGATACAGATAGATTTTGTAATATCCAAATTTCCTTGGTATATTAACAGAAAGTAAAATATTATTCATGAATTAATAAATTAATCTCAGTAGTCTGTTTGCCTACTAAAATCAACTTCTTCAATTCTGAAGTAATTTAACAATAAAATAAAATCTTCTATGAGACTTCATGGATGGCATGTTCTCACATTTCATATTTAACTGATCTTTAGGACCAGAAATATATTTATTTAGGAAAAATGAATAAAAGATGCAGGGAAATGCAGAATTTGGCTTTCTGTGAAACACTTATTTGGGGAATATTAACTGTTATGAGGTCACGAAGAATTAGAAAAGATTTCTGAGGAACAGATAAGAACAACAGTGAATGATCTGCTATAGGTTATGTTATTATTAGAAAATGGAAGTAAATGGCTGCCCTTCAAGATGCAGATGAGATAAAAGATGGAGCTTTCCTGGCCATTTGTCCGTCTTCTATGGAGTTATTTTCTGATGTGAAAACTGTTGGGAGGAATGGTTTCAGGAGAACATGGTTAGAAAAAGATTGACATCCCCTTCTGTTTGGCCCTAATCTCTCTCTCTCTCTCTCTCTCTCTCTCTCTCTCTCTCTCTCTCACACACACACACACACACACACACACACACACCTCATAGAATTTCACCATACTCCCAGCATTAAAGTATTATTTACAGGTAGTCCTTGACTTATAACCATTCATTTAGTGACTATCTGAAGTTACAACATCCCTGAAAAAGTGACTTATGACCATTTTTTACATTTACAACCATTGCAGCATCTCCATGGTCTTGTGATCAAAATCTGGATGTTTGGTAACTGGCATGTATTTATGATGGCTGCAGTGTTCCAGGTCATGCAATCACCTTTTGCAATCTTTTGACAAGCAAAGTCAATGGGGAAGCCAGATTCACTTAACAACTGTGTTACTAACTTAACAATGCAGTGATTCAGTTAATACCTATAGCAAGAAAGATATTAAAATGGGGCAAAACTTACTTAACAAACTGTTTTCATAGCAACAGAAATTTGGGCCTCAGTTGTGGTTATAGGTCAGTGGTGGCGAACCTATGGCACGGGTGCCAAAGGCGGCACTCAGAGCCTTCTCTGTGAGCACGCGAGCCATCGCCCCAGTCCTAGGCCTTCGGCTGGGTTTTATAAAACCTTTTTGCTTTAGGCCTCCGCCGCCAGGTGCAAAAAAAAAAAAAAAAAGTCCAATCAGTCAATTTCAACTTCTCACGGGAAAAAAAAGATCTTGCAAAGTTGGAATTGATTGATTGAACTTTTTAGTCCCACCCAGTCTGCCATTACCACTGCAGCCACCCCCACCCAATTGGCAACACCCAGCCAATGGGCAACACCCAGCCAATGGGCCACACCTACCCGGCACTCGACGATGCATAAGTGGGTTTTGGGTTGCAGTTTGGGCATTCAGTCTCTAAAAGGTTCGCCATCACTGTATCAAAGTATGTATTATTTATTCACTTTGCTAGCCATCTGGGGCATCAAAACAATATTCAGCTTAAAGAATAATAATACATCTTGAAACAGTTGTTTGTCTTAAAGATCTTCCTAACTAGCATTTTGTATTGGTTCAGTTGCTACTAGCCCTAATTTTTCACCCTTATATTCTCATTGACAAAATTGACATTGACAAAAATTAACTTTGTTCCGTTACATATCTCCATTAGACAACAGCATCTCTTTCTCCCATGGCATCTCTTGATTTAAGGCTAAAGTTAGTAAATAGATCATGCTACATTCAGAAGAGGAGGTAAAAAATGGAGGAGGTGGAGGAAACAAATAATGTTCAAAGGAAAAAGCAGAAACTTGGACTGATTACTTTCTCCTTAACCGTTTTTGTCTCAGGTGAAGTCAAGGAAAGGAAGAATGTTGTACAACAAAGCTTTTTAGCTATATAATGTCCTTCAAAATAAACCAATAGAATACAAATGAATTCAAAGCCAGCAAAGGTTTATGTGATGAAATTTAGAAACATCTGAAAATGCTCAATAGAGAGGGAACCATCTTGATTGCACACCATAGCTAAGGTGTTTCCCTCCTTAGTCATAAGAAGTCTTACTTTGTGTACTCATCAATTGAGCTCCTGTGATGAAGGGACATAAAACATGTGTTTTCCTGCATTACATATGGTTTGACTTTGAATCACATCTGGCTATAATGGTGAAAATTTGGAAGTTATGTGGAACGTAAACGTTAAACTAAGGCTGTAACTCACATATATGGTCATTTTTTTCAAAACTGGGAAAAATCAGAGCAGTTTATAGGTGAGAGCAACTAATTCTGACAATATTTTATTTAAGAATTTATTGAGGAAAATTAAAGGAGAGGCACAGAGTGATGGTGCATTCAGTTAGAGATTAAAAATTCACGGACATTGAAAGAGTTGTTTGACCCATATGTTTGTTTTATCTGTCTTAGAATAACACTAGCTATTAATAAGGCAGTGAAACACTGTTAGAAGAGAATACTAAAGGCCTGAATCTGCCTGTAGACATTCCAACCTGTCAAGAGAACAACATTTTATTTGTACTTTAAATAAGAGTTTAAGCTGCTTTCCAGTTCTTAAGATTTCCTCCCTGCTATCAGTTAGCCATCAATTGCCCTTTCTGCAAAAATAAAAAGAATAATGGCTACATGGCTTCCTCTATTTCATAATTTTTATTTATTCAATTTAATTTATTTAAATGTCAATTATTCAAATATTATAATTTATTTAATTTTGATTTTTGTTTATTAGTTTTGTCAGAAGAATAATTTGGGGTGCCAGCTAGAGCCGCAGTTGCATAAGAATAAATAAAAATGAGATCCAGACAGCAATGAGGAAAGAAGAAATGTTTATTCCTAAAAGCAAAACAGCTTGCTTTTGGATGCAGGCTACAGAGTGGAGAGGGATTAAAGAGTCTACCTCCCCCCCTTCTCTCTCTCTCTCTCTCTCTCTCTCTCTCTCTCTCTCTCTCTCTCTCTCTCTCTCTCTCTCTGCCTCCAGCTTTTACTTGGAGGCTAGTAAATGCAGGAAAAGTAAAGAAACAGAAAGAAATATATTGCCTTCTATGGGTTATTTTCATAGATCATCAAAAGAGTATAATTAAGTCATCTTTTAAACTTTCCTTACTTTAAACATAAAATTACAATATGCATATCTATACAATGCCGTAAAGTAGTCTCTTTCAATTTAAACTTATAAGAACATTTGTATACACAATAACAATTTATTTTTTTAAGAAAATAGTTCTTTTAAGACTTTTTTCTTTATTTTTTATTACAATTGAAAGTACCTTTGTTTTGCCAAATTAAATTAAATTATTAGTCTCATCTCATATCTTAGTCCTTTTTTTTTTTTTTTTACATAAATCCTGTGCATTTCACTTTTTCATTCCCTCCTAAACCAGGCATCCAGCAACCTTCCTAATGGAGAGGTTGGGGAAACATGCGAAGCCGAACTTCCCTTTTCCTTGTCCCTACCTAACACACATGTCCCTATCAGTACCCATATGGAAGACCTCCTAAGCGAGGTACATAGCTCCCCTATCTTTACTCACCATTCAGTTTTCTAATTGCTTTTAAATGAGACTGGCAATCACCCAGATAAAATGTGTGCATCCATTCCATTTTTTCACAAACAACATGAGAATTTTTTTCAGTACTCTATTTGGGCATTCTGATACTCATTCTTATTTCATTCTATTTTCAAGAACCTGGGACCAGCAATGAGATGTGAGACCATTTATATAAGCTGGGAGTAAAATGTAATTGTGATTTCTTTCAAGCAGAAGCAAAAGTATTTCATCTCTACTATTCCAAAAATAATAGAAAGATATTCATGCTTATGTAGATGAAATGCATGGGTTGGTCACTACAATTGAAATGTCCAGTTCATGCATTCTATATTATTCTACCCGTTGCAGTTAAAAATGCATATTATACAAGTTTCTGAAATCTTTCTGGGTTTTTTTCCCCCCTAAAGATTTAACCAAAACTTCCTTGAAGCTAAGCAGGAAAGAAGCTGAGAAAAAAAAATCTATGAAGGTGGGTAATTGTTCTTAGCATATTTATAAAGATAAATAAACTATCAATTTATATTCTTTTCTGGACTGTCATGGCTTCCTTAAATAGTGTTGGGAATTATACTTTGCTGAGGTTGTTACAAATTTGGGCTTGGAAATCCACAAACAATTAGAGACAAAGTTAAGATTTTAAGATTGGATATTGTAGATAAATAATAAACAACATTTTTATTCTTATGTGAAGTATGAAGAAGACACCTGGTTTGACCAATGGATAAATCTGCACTTGTCTGTACTTTAAATCTGCAGCAGGATAAAATACAATGAAAAATTCAATACAATAAAGTAACTTAAAATGTGCTCAAAATGATGAGCACAGATTTACTTCAGTTAGAGCAACTGAAGTAAGACTCATTTAGCCTCTTAGGCAGCAAAGGCTACTGAAAGGCTTTTCAAAAGCTTTATTTGTATGCTTTGCTTTGTTTTGTTTTCTCTCCTCAGAGAATGGGGCAACAAAAAAAGCCTTCTAGACCCAAACCGTCTCCCCCTCCAAACTGTGTTGCTACTTGGGCAAGCTGCAAGCCACCATCTCATCCCTGCTGTGATTTCTGTGCCTTCTGCCACTGCCGACTTTTTCAGACAGTCTGCTACTGTCGTATGGGAAATCCACACTGCTAAATCAAAGTCAAGAGTGCTCTCAGTAACTCAGTATATCTTCCAGCATGATTGTCTTGTATCAATTTTCAAAAGAGGCCAAGAGCCTTGTTTTCTTCCAAGCGTCACATTCATTGTGGGATCTGTCTCAAAGAGTAATGCTACCAGAAACAAGCTAGTCCCTGCCATGGTAATTATGGTAGAGAAGGGGTGAAATGAGATAAAGACTGACCACTTGAAAAGTGAAGGGACGGTGAGAGAATGAAAGTTACACATTAAAAATACATTACAGGTAACATATTTCCCTGAAAATAAGATATGGTCTTATATTTTTTTGGCACCAAAAAACACATTAGGGCTTATTTTCAGGGAAATATAGTATCAGGGGGATCAGCCCGGCTGGGCACCCCACCCTCCAATGTACGCATAAGAGGTGGTAAGCATGCAGGGACCGACAATGTCCAGTAGCAGCTACAGCCCGCCGGCCCCTTGGTGCAGTGCAGGTAAGTCCAAGTGCAGAGGCAGATGTGGGGGGGAGGCAGGTGATCTGAACATGGCCCTCCCAGTGCCTCTCTTCTGCCTGCTGCCGGTGCAGCCACCTGGCTCACAGGGGGCTCACATGGCAGCACTGGAGCAGGCAGAAGCACGGCTGCGCTGAGGCAGGCAATCTTAATGCGCCACCCACTCTGACCCACTGTCTTTCGGCTTCCCCGAAGCCACATCAGGGCAGGTGATCCCAATGCACCGTGAGACCACCTGTCCCAATAAGGCCACAGGCAAGCTGAGAGATGGTGTGATGGAGTGAGTGGTGCATCGGGATTACCTAGCTCCCCCTCCCCCCCCTGTGCTCGGACTTACCTGCACTGCGCGGGCTGCTGCCAGACATCTTTGACCCAGTGTGTTCACCTCCTCCTTTGCTGGCCACGCCCATCTATCCCTGGGTTATTTTGGGGATAGCTAGGGCTTATTTTCTGGGTGGGTCTTATTTTCAGGGAAACACAGTAGTCCTCGAGTTATGACCAGAATTGAGCCCAAAATTTATGTTGCTAAGTGAAACATTTGTTACATGAGTTTTGCCCCATTTTATGACTTTTCTTGCCAGAATTGTTAAGTAAATAATTGCATTTGTTAAGTTAGTAATACGATTGTTAAGTGAATCTGGCTTCCCCATTGACTTTGCTTGTCAAAAGGTCACAAAAGCTGGTCACGTGACCCCAGGACATCGCAACCGTCATAAATATGAACCAGTTGCCAAACATCTGAATTTTGATCATGCATGTGACCGTGGGGATGCTGTGATGGTCATAAGTATGAAAAATGGTCATAAGTCACTTTTTTCAGTGCCATTGTAACTTTGAACGGTCACTAAATGAACTGTTATAAGTTGAGGACTACCTGTATATTTTCTCCTGAAGAATTGCATTTATTATACTTCAGAGATGTAAAAAGGTGCCCTCTAGGACAATAATCATGTGGATTTCTAGCAAAATGAGAGAGGTGAAAAAAGTTATTGCTCAGTGATTTACAGTTAGTTTTCTGTAACAGGGTTTGGTAACATTTAGCATTCCAGGTGTTGCTTAAGGATTGGCCCCAACCATTGATGGGAACTATGATTAACAATCAGTCTTTGAGGACTGCAGATGTCCATAAAAGGGAGTGTGGAATCAGTTTCAGTCCAAGGATTCATTCACTTCTCTAATATTTTTTTTCTTTAACATATTTAAGGACTATCCACCAGTGATGGGTATAGCCAAAGCTAAAATATTTTCTTTTTACTTTCTTGTTTTATTTTTGCTTGTCCTTTCTATTACCCCTTCTCCTTTCCTCTGTTCTTCCTAGTTTACTCTAAATAAATCATGATGCTTTGATTCTCTCTTCTGGAGAGAGCAATGTGAGTCAATGATGCAGGAATCCAACATAGAAGCAAAACATCTGGTAATAGAAAGAGAGAATGATTCTTCTGTGCATTGTCATTATACTTAGATTTTATGCTATTTGGTGAGAAAAAGAGGTTTTAATCCTAGACTACCCAGATGGAAAACAATTGTGAAATAGGGTAAATGAAAGCACGGGGAGCAGAATCAAGGAAAGTTGATGGAGCCTGGTAATTAGCTAGCAAACCAAACAGAAAGGGTTGGAAAACTACACTGTTCCATGGGTCACATGTTTCCCATTATATGCATAATTATAAAGCATGCTCTTCCATTTCTTAAAAGAAGTCAATATATTAACTTTAACAAAACTATTCTCCATCTTCAGTTTTAAACTGGCTTATGTTTCAATTCAGCAGTTTTGATTATATTAGTGTGTATAATATATAAATTAAAAGGGAGTATATAAAACTCCCTTTTAATTTGGAATAGAATTGGGGTGACTGGATGGAGCTGAGAGTTTATTGGTCAGATGCACTTCCTTCCCAATACCATGTGGAGTTCACAGCAGATACTTTTTCTTTGCGCCCTTAGAGAGAAACATCTACCACTACCTAGGACTGAACTCTCAACCTTCTGAGTGGGAGGTGAGTGAGAGAATTAAATGAACACATTTTCATTACTACCCTTAATTTGTAAGTACTGACTTTGTTTAACTTCAGCTTTTGGAGCTGCCAAAGCTTTCCCAATCCATCTAGGCTTCTACAGATTTTATGTCACAACCATCATCTTGAGCACGCATGGCCACTTTGATGCTTAAGCTAAATATGGATATCTTTGACTTCTTCATATTTGTGCTGATTGATTCATCACACCTATGTAGGCTATAAATACACCCATAAATCTATCTGTTGCACAAACGTTTAGCATTTTAGAAGCTCCCTCCTCTTTTTTTTTTTTTTTTTTTTGGTCTCTTGAAATATTTCATGCACTGACTGCATAAGTCTTTAACAGTATTATAATGCTGCTTTACTGAGTTAACTGGCATTCTAGAGAATGTTAGGAGCTAAGGATATGCTGCAAAATTGTGTTGCAAGCCTCCCATTGTTATAATAGTTAATAGCTAAAATAGTGACCCATGGCAGTTAGAAGAAAGGTCAAACAAGACCTCCAAACAGAATCATATCATAGGCTCAGGGAGTCTTTATTCATTTGCAACTAATCATGAGGTTAACATGCCCTGGCAGCTTCTTATCTTTTGCCCCATGAATAGATGGGAAAGAAATGGAGGTAGTGACAGATTTTATTTTTCTGGGCTCCAAGATCACCTCAGATGGGGACTGCAGCCAAGAAATTAAAAGATGCTTGCTCCTGGGGAGGAAAGCTATGGCAAATCTAGACAGCATACTGAAAAGCAGAGACATCACCCTGCCAACAAAAGTGCGTATAGTCCAGGCCGTGGTTTTCCCAGTTGCAATGTATGGCTGTGAAAGTTGGACCATAAGAAAAGCTGAGCGCCAAAGAATTGAGGCCTTTGAACTATGGTGCTGGAGAAGACTCCTGCGAGTCCCTTGGACTGAAGGCGTTCAAACTGGTCAGTCCTAGAAGAGATCAATCCCGACTGCTCTTTAGAAGGCCAGATCCTGAAGTTGAAACTCAAATTCTTTGGCCACCTAATGAGAAGGAAGGACTCACTGGAGAAGGGCCTAATGCTGGGAAAGATTGAGGCAATAGAAGAAGGGGACGACAGAGAATGAGATGACTGGATGGAGTCACTGAAGCAGTAGGTGTGAACTTAAATGGACTCCAGAAGATGGTAGAGGAACGTTGTCCATGGGGTCATGATGGGTCGGACACGACTTTGCAATTAACAACAACAACAAGATAAGCTTATACCATCCTTAGCTCTACTGATATTAATTTTCCTTCTACAATCCAAGGGCACCCTCAAGATGTATATATAAAATCTATTAAGCTTCATTACTCATTATCTTTGAAGGAAGTCCACTGACTACAGTGACTTGAAGTAGATACAGCATACAGATCTGAAATGGGAATAGGATATTTCATGCTAGTACCATTTACTGCCAAATCACTGGTGAAAGTACTTCATTTTAGCAGTGAGGAAAGTTGAAAGTTGAAAGAAACCATTTAGTCCATTCTCCAATCCTCTCTTCAGTGCAGAAATATAAATAAAAGTTTCCCCATCTGACAGCTATCTATCATTTATCAGAACATGTGCAATGATGTCACCTCCTTAGCAACTGATTTCATTACTAAACTTCTGTTATGTGTTGCGTCCTTGGCGGGAAAACAGACACGAGAAGCAGCTGGAGTTCTCAGGTTCTTTTATTCAGCGTTCAGCTTACAGGAAGATGGCTTCAGCTTAGCCCAAACGCCTCGCAGCCCCTTATATAGGCAACTCCCGGGTAAATGGGTTACTTTTCCCGCGCCAGCACCCGCGCATGCGCACGGCGCTGGCGACAGCCTGTCTGGTCCCGGGCAGCTTTGCACCTGCCCGGGACTGCCTGCAAACGCCCGAGCCGTTTGCAAAGGCTCGGGACATAACACCCCTTTCCCCCGGGCTAAAACTACTACCAACATACAGCATTTATTTTATATAACATTTTGCTCCCCAGTGCTCCCACTGTTTACTGGCCTTTGCCTTGCCAGCAATGTTATGTAGTCTTCTAGGTACTTGGGAGATTTCTTTGCTCTCTGTGACCTTCTTAGCTGTGGGTTACTGGCATAAGTCCCCTGACTGGAGGGAGGCGTGAGCCTATTCTCTCTATTGTGCCCTGGTGTCTTCCAAGGACTGTGCCCCGATGCCTGGCCTGCTTGCTTGCCCACCGGGCTCGTCAGGCCAGGGCTTCTGTTGCTTTGTGACCTGGTTGACCTGCCTAGCTGTAGACCCTCAGGCCCCTTGAAGTGATAGCCGCTGCTGGGCGTCTCTGTAGGACCTCCTAGGTCAGTCCAAGACCTGTCAGGGGGCTGTCCATTCCCTGAACCCCATTCTGTGTTTGGGCTCATGTGGGTTTCTGTACTCTCCCAAAACTCAGGTGTCCCCTGATTTGTGCTAGGGGTGTTGTAGTCGGGACTTGGTTCCTCGACTAGCTCTGTGTATGTTTGACCCTCTGTAGGATTTGGGGTAAGGTCAGGCCAACTTTGGGGATTGTGTGCCAGCTCTCTTGCGGGGAATGATTTGTTGGGATGCCCCCGGGTATCCTCCGTGACTGGAGTGCTGTGTGATATGTGTGGAAGTGAGTATGCCCCCGGGGTGACTCCCTGGCTGGAGTAGGCGTGGATGCCTGTTGTGTGGGTAAGCTCCATGACTTCCTTTTCGGAGCAATTGCAGAATCTTGGGACGGGCCGTCTGTGGCTCCCTCAGTGGAGATGGGCAGTAACTCTTGCCCTTCCCTTTGCTCCAAAGGGTCCCCCTCCCCCCCTGGAAAAGACCCAGGAGTTTCAGCAGAAAAGTCCCGCCTAGAGCGGAGTTGGTCGATGTGCCGACGCAGGACACGACCGTTGTCCAGGGCAACCTCGTAGGAGAGAGGACCTGTGATCCTGGACACAGAAGCGGGGACCCATGTATGACCAGGCCGTAATTGCGAGCCCAAACCGGGGCACCCACAAGTAGTTGTCTAGGTGCCCTAGGATGTGAGGTAGATGAAGGCAGTCTGTCCGGATGCAACCGGTCAAGTCTCGTAGTAAGTTGGCGCCCCCAACGAAGTTCAGCTGGACTTTTCCCTGTAGAAGTGGACGGTGTGGTGCGATAAGAAAGGAGAAAGTCAGCCAACCTGTGATGCCAGTCCCCGTAGGTGAGTCTCTTCAAGGCGTCCTTTGCGATGCGCACCATGCGTTCAGCCATACCGTTGGTGGAAGGGTGACAGGGCGCAGATGTGGCATGACGAATCAGGTTTGCCTGTAAGAAAGCTTGGAATTCGGAGGAGGTGAATTGAGGGCCGTTGTCAGACACAATGACATCTGGCAGCCCGTGTGCAGCAAAAATCCCCCTCAGTACCTGAATAGTCTTTGCAGTGGGGGTGGACGAGACAGGCACAACCTCAAGCCATTTTGAATGGCTGTCAACAAGGACCAAGAAG